CCCTACAGCCACAGCGCCTGAATCTGCTTCCGTCGGGTAAGGTGCAACTCACAGCTGCCACACATGCCAGTCTCCTAGGCTTCTCCTTAGATGGATTTTAAAATTTAAATCAGAAAAGGGCACCCCACCACCAAGTGTCACACCTGTCATAGTCGCCATCAACAGTCTGTTTCTGGACAACCACACCATGGCACACTTGAGAATGCCACTGAAACCCCACCCTGGGCAGGGGAGGAACTTCTGTAGATGTGCAGAGGTCACCGGGCGGCCGCATGGCAGGCTTTGCAACCTGAGATGGGTTTAAATGTGGGAACTCACAGCTGCTTGTTTCAACGTCTAACAGAACCTGTCTTTATGTCTCCTGGCTCTCAAACCTCAATAGAAGCTGGAGCCCTTCACCTCAAACTGCGAGGAAGCCATTGTTTTCCTACAAAATTCAGTCCACTCCCTGAATACCCACAGGACCCCAAGCACAGCACAGGTAGGTTCTCGTGTATTTTATTTTATTTGACAGATAGGTGGGAACACAACAGTTTGGTCAAAACCATCATCCTTAGCAAAAATTTTCAAGCCCTTTTTCATTCATAGATCCCTGTCAATTAGCAAAAAACTTCCCTTGTGACCAAAAAAATCCCACTCTGCCCAGAAAAGAAACATCACCACTACATTTGCTGACATGCCACCGAGGCACAAGTGATTTGCTGTCAGGAGTGAGTAATTCAGAGGAGACACAGAGGTGGACTGGCTGGAGGGACCTCGACGGCCTAGGAACCAGGGACCTGGAGATGCCTCCTGGTGCCCAGGGTGTGCAGCGAAATCCACGGCCTCATCTAAATGCCAGGATCTCCTCCTGCTGCCGCCTTTAAGCTTCCCTCTTTCTTTCTGCCCTCAGACCTCCCTTCCCTTGGGCAAGGGCATCTGGAGCTGTGCTACGCTCCTATGGGGACTGGGCGATGTGTGGGGTGCGCCAAGCCCACCCGCTTTTAGCTCGGTTGACAGAGCAAGGACATGGGTCACACTGACGTGTCCACTAGCGCTAGGCTTGGGAGGACTGGAGGAGGGCTTCCAAGCGCGTTTCTCCCACCCCGGGCAGGAGGTCGCAGAGTTGATCGGCAAGCACAGGGCGATGATGAAGCATGTCCTGGAAGACGCGCGGCTGGTGGCCCTCCGGCTGGAAGGCGGCACCGTGCTGGCACGGCTGAGGAGGGAGGCGCACGGCGCCGGCCAAGACTACCAGTGAGTGTCCCGCTGGGGCCGCGCTGGACCGCGGCCCAGCCGGGGCGATTCCCAGCGCTCTGCCCAGTCACGGGAAGCCCGTCTTCATCACCTGCAGTGTCTCCAAGGAGTTCAAACCTCCATTCCTCTGACGGACACACTGTGCTGACCAGAGATTAATTCCCTTTGTAACTAAAGGAAGCCTAGCAGATTCCTTGGAAGGCTCAAGTGGAGAAAGGTCACTTCCTGGAATTCAGCATCCGTCCTAACCAAATGCTTCCTTGCCTGTTGCCTCCCAGGCACCGGGTCCACCCACCCACATTTCCCTGCCACCTCCGGGGTGCCCGCACCTGTGGCTGGCAGGGTGTCACAGCTCACAGGCGTGTTTATGCTCTGCTCAGGCTGTGGGCCTCCTCGGGGGCTTCCGTTTTTGTCAGATGTACAGAGTGCAGCTGGTGTTTGTAACCAGGTGTCACCGACTCGGGGCTTGCTGTGAACAAACACCCTGACAGCTGCCTTCTCTTTCCAGGGACACCATCGAGGCTGCCTGCAGGCTGTACGACCAAGTAGACGAAGAGGTCCACAGGCTGGTCCTCGCCTCCAACAGGTGTCTGCAGGCACTGGAGGAGCTCCAGGAGCGAGGACGCCAGTCAGGGCTCCAGGGGCAGGTGACCATTCAGGGCTCCAGGGGGAGGTGACCAGTCCGGGAGCCAGGGGGAGGTGACAGGGCTCCAGAGTGAGGTGACAGTCAGTCAGGGCTCCAGGGGGAGGCGACCAGGTCAGTATCTGGGAGAGGTAACCAGTCAGGGCTCCAGGGGGAGGTGACAGTCAGGGCTCCAGGGGGGAGGCTACCAGGTCAGTGTCCTGGGAGAGGTGACCAGTCAGGCTTCCGGGAGGTATGGAACTGGGTTACCTGAAATAACCAGTGTAACACTCGCTGTTTTAATCCAGATCTTCTTTATATTCATACGCACTTAACGATTTCCAAAAGCTTCTGTTTTTCAAGTAAAATCCTTATTATTTTATCAGCCATTGTTTCCTGGTTAGTAAATGTGAAGCCAGGACCCCCAGCCCAGCCAGCAGCATAGGGGCAGTGAAGAGTGGCTGGAGACTCTCTGGACCCTCAGCTGGCCCTGCATCCTCCAGTGTCTGGTCACCGTGGGGCAGTCAGGGTGGGAGGGGCGCCGCCCCCAGGGCACCCCAGGCTGGTCCCCAGGACAGCCAGCAGTCACGGTGGGGTTGCACACTCTGTATTTTCCCTCCCTGGTCTCCCCACAAACAGCCCTAGCGCCCAGCCATGGGCCAGTGGGGGGCCTGGGTGGTGGGAGATGGTGACCCAGCTGATCCAGGCTGCAGGGAAGCACAGACAAGGGGCTGACCAGCTCACCTGGTCCCGGTGGTGGCAGCCTGGAGCATGGCAGACTCGGGACACCCCAACCTGGGGGTGGGCCCTGCCTGGGGCTCCTCCAACCCGCTCCTCAATCCTGTGGGGTCCCCCGTCTACCCGTAGGGTCTATTCCCTGGCCTCTGGGGCCTCCTCCATCCTATGGGGTCTACTGTTTCTTATATATTATGTATTTTATTAGAAAATGCCCTCCAGGACTTCCCAGGGGAAGGATGGAAACTCTAAGACCTGCACACCCGATGCTGTCTCTTCTCCATCACAGTTCTCAGTAGTTTATTCTCCCGCCGGAACAGAGGCACCGTACCGGTCATTTAGCCTCATGGGTTGCAGTGGAGAGTCTGCTCTGCTGCACTCTCAGCCTTGGGCTGGGCCCTGCTTTCTCCCGGGAATCTCGTCCACCTCTGGTCCTCAGGCCGCCTCCGCCTGGTGAGCAGAGGCTCCTCCTTTGCCTCCCTAGGCTCTGGGGATTCTGGGGTTCCTTGATGAGCACCCCCGTTTCCCAAATTCCACGCTTCCTGCTGGTCCGCTCGTTTTCTTCCTTTTCCGTTTTCCACGTCGCTGGCCTTTTCCTCTACTTTGAATAGATTTTATCGACTTTATCTTCTAAGCCCACTTGTGTGTTTTTGCTTCTGCTCTAACGTTGTTAACTTCCATAGGGGTTTTGTTTGTTTATTCCTCTCAGTGGCCCTTCTTTACAGCACCTGACTTACTCTTGGCTGAAATACTGGTCGTGGTGTCTGCCCAGCCTCTCTCCCCTCCGAGGGGGCTTCTGCAGGCCTGTTCTGGCTTCTCTTTTTCATGCTGGAGGCTCTCCTGGTGATCCTAGGTTGCCTGCCTAGCTCACGAATGGGGTGGGGCCACTAGAGGCCCCTGCCGGGCCCACCTCCTGGGCTCGTGGGCTCCTCCAGAGATGCGGCCTCCGACCCCCGAGGGGAGGGCCTGGCTGCATGTCAGGGAGGAGGTGAGACTCCGTGTTCCCGTGGCCCCTGACCGCCTCCCTCTGTGCAGAGAGCACCCGGGCCCTGCAGGGTGAACGGCGCGTGCACTGGGGCCCCCACCTCTCGCAGCTCCCGGTCATCACCGGGCCTCACCTCGTCGTCAGCTTCACCACCTGCACAGGACGCCCGGGCCCCCAGCGTCCCTCCTTCCCAGCCTGTCTGTTGTCCCCATCCTTTATACCTCGAAAGACGTTACTGAAGCTTTGGCAGTGTTCCAGGAGGGATCAAAGTTAGATATGTTTTAGTCTGCTGTCTTCACCCAAAGCTAAATACAATTTAACCTAAAAATGGGATCATCCTATATAGCGTGTTAAGTGCCTTTTTTTCCTGAGCAATTGCACGCACACTGTGGAAGAATTAGGACCTAGGTTTTAGCCACAGTGAGATCCTGCCTCACGCGCTCCTCTGGTGGCCCTGAGGTGGGGCCGCGTGGGCACGCACGCTGCTGGGAAGTCCCCAGGGCTCTGCCCTGCTGTTCGCTATTGCAGACATCACCACCTGCACAACAGCCACTTTGTGATTGTTTGCAAATTCCTAGGCTGGGTCGGAGGGTCAGGGCGCACACCTTCTGAGGTTTTCAGACATCTGCCAGCGGCCTTCCAGACGGCTGGCCCAGCCTGGGCTCTCGGCAGCCTTTGGAGGCCCGCTTTCTCGTTTGCCAATCTGACAGGTGACGATAAGGTGTCTCATCATTGTCTGCGTTCGGATCTTTTATGCTGCAGTTGAACCTTTTCTTCCTACATTTATTGGTTATTTTTATTTCCCTAATAAATTGCTTTTTCATGTACTTGGCCAGTTTCTCTACAGTTTGTAATAGTTTCATTATGTCACTCCTAATCCTTTGATTGTGTTGCAGATATCTGTAATTTGCCCTTTAACTTTGCTTATGATTTATGTGGCTTTTCCTATCTTTCAGTTACAGAACGACTAATGTATTCCATTATAAGACTTTCATGGCTTGAATTTCTCCATTTAATTTTTCAAGCCGACTGGAATTTATTTTTTCTCGAGGTCGGCAGTGGAACTCCCCCTCTGAGGCGCCTCTGCCCTGCTGAGCATTTCCTCTCCTCTACCTGGCAGTTCGAGGACTACAGGTGCTACCTTGCAAAAATCTAGGTTTGATGGTTTTTCCCATGACTCTGCCCACAAAGAGCACGTACTCTGGTCTCCCTCCTCTGCTCATACACCTGAGTTCATTAAATACAATTATTGTCCTCATAGATCCAGCCCAATCGCTCCATTTTTTAATAGCAAACCTCTTCCTGGGTGTCTAACGACCGGATGCCCCTGCATTGCCCTGTGAGGGTTTGCTTCTGACGTGCCCGCGGTGAGCGCAGTGCTGTTGCCGTGGGAACTGCGTCTCTAAAGTGATGACCGTGACCTCATCCGACTGCGAAGGTGCAGGCAGGCCTGCCATTGCCCCTTCGTCCCTCCCAGGTGCCACCAGCCTGAGGAATGTTTCTGGAGTTTGTGTAGCATAGTAACAAGTTTCGAAACTGAAACTTCTGGATCCATTTTTCAATGATCTTAATTTCCACTTCCAAACAATTAAAAGTTATAAACTTGAGCTGTGGAAGTCTGTGGTCATCCCAGTCCCTCTCCAAGCCAAGCTCATTCACTCCCATTCACAGATCGAAACATCACGAGTGAGAACCGTGGTTCAAACTGAGGCCGAGTAGCCTTCGGATGCGCTCAGGAGATGCCGTTCAGAGGAGGCGTGTAGCTGTAGGAACCGGATGCACTGGCCCCAAGGCAGCATCTGACACCTCCTTTGTCCTCCGAAGTCTTAGGGCCGGACTCCTTAGCACATTTAAAAGTAAAACCTTCTTTTCCTACGTAGATCACATCGTGGTTTGAAAAAGAAAGAGAGAAATTCCTTGGGCCTTTGGAGCTGCTCTCTCTGGGGAACGCAAAGCAGTGGCAGGCGTCCCAGGCTCTCCCAGACAGGCTGACGGTGGGTGCCCACCAGGACACACGCAGGGACACCCAGGGCACTGCTGGGGCTTGTTCTGACTGTTTGCTCCTTGGGCCGCAGCAATATCGTCCGAAAGGGCTGCGGCTGATGGAAGAGGACTTGCAAGGCGCAGAGGAAGGGACCCAGGACTTCAGAAGGAGTCTGAGCGCCAAGGCCGGCCTGGCTGAGCGGAGGGAGGGCGAGCTGGCCAGGCAGGCCCTCAGGTCCAAGTTCTGCGAGACGGTAAGAGCCCCGGCCCAGTCACTCCCAGGGTGTGCACGCGTTGCCAGGTCCTCGCTGCGGACTTTCGCTGCGAGGTGGGCGCCCCCCCGCCAGGCTCTCCATAGACCTGTGAGGGGTTTATTTATTGTACCAGACAGACAGCCCACGAGGACACGTGAACTGTTCTTTCTGTTTACCGGCTCAGTTATAAAAGTCCACTTACTGTCAAAGATCCCAGAACGATTGCTGCAGCACAGCCACACCCGCACTCTCGCTAGCGCCCTAGAATTCCTGCCGTTAGGGCGCCAGGGCCAGAGTCCTCAGGAGCACAGAACCCAAGAGGCCAGGGCAGGCCTGGAGCTCTCGGCCCGAAGTCCCTGGCCCATGGGTCACACATCAGGCGGACCGTCTCACGGCCTCTCCAGCCCTGATGCCCATGGTCGAGTCCGGCCAGCAGTTGCCACCGCGAGCACAGAGTCTTCCTCTCACTCTGGCCTCTGGCTCACCCTGGTCCTCGCTTTGGGCGACGTGGTCAGCAGGCAGAGCGTGACCTGAGTTTACTCAGGGTGCTGGCTCAGGCCACCCAGGCCACCTTGGCTGTGACCGTCCTTCACTGCACTGACCGGTGCCCTCCTGTGCCGGGAAGGTGAGCGGGCGGACGCTGCGGTGCAGTCAGTGCCTAGAGCACCTGGACCCAGAGCTGGTCACCGAGGATCTGAAGCGCTGTCGCCGCCAGGCCGTGCAGAGCTTCCCCAGGGCGAGTGTGGTGGTGGTGGGCCCCGGCGGCCACTGGGCGCTGCCACGGGGCCAAACCTTGTGGCTGCAGAGCCGGCAGACCCGACGCCACTGGCAAGAGGCCCTTGGAGAGGCAGCTCCGGGCCCCGGCCCCCTGCCTCTGGGCTGGAGCCCCCTGGAGCACGAGCTTGCCCAGGGACCCGAGGGGCAGCCCCTTGAGCCTTCCTGGACCCCTCCTGCTGACCCCGAGGGCCGAGCTGGGGAGTGGGCCTGACTGCTGCCCGGCCTCGCCAGACAAGCTGCCGTGTGTGGGCAGGGTGAGCACCCGCGCCCAGGTGTGCACGCACAGGACAGCAGCGGCACCTGCTCCCCGCCCATCCCAGGAAGCACCCCCTGAAGAAAATTAGGAAGAAAGCACAAAGCTTCGCAATTCCTCGGCTTGACAGTGGCCCCAGCGACTCCCTCCGGCTGGGCCACACTGGGGTCTTTATCAAAGGCCTGGAGGTGACCGGCACCGCTGTGGCCTCAGAGAAGCGGCCCCCGCTGAGGCCACCTGCCGAGAGCCCTCGGCTCCCTCAGAACCGGAGTCTGTCCTCTCTCCCTAGGACCCACTCCTCCGAGGAGGATGGGAAGGGCAAGCTGGAAGGTGAGGCAGATGCCCTCAACCTGTGGGCCTAGTGGTCAGTGGGATCTAGAGACCCAGAGCCGTGGAGTGCCCTTCCACAGCGTGGGAAACCCACGGACGCCCCTCCAGGCCTTCCCCGTCAGGTCCAGGCTGAAGCACTCATGTCTGATTTTAAACAAGACATTAGTGATCTCCCTGTGCTCAGAACTGAACCTCTGAGAGCCGCCTCCTTTTTCAGGGCGTGTAGTGGCCACACCCACTCTGATGGTTAAACAACCAACTCTAGTTGTATAGGGCTCATTTCCAGAAAATTGCAATAAGCAAATCAAGCCCACAACGTGAAGAAATTACTTTAGAAACTGCTCTTAAAAAAAGTCTGTAAGTATTGAGGTGAGAGGTGTGTGCCCGTTTATCTGTTGCCCAAATGAAGTTGTCCGTTTAGTTTGTTAAATCTTTAGGAAGATGTTTGCAAAAAGATACTTGTTAACTGTCTGGATAAAAAGTGGTCAAGGACCCCACCCACCCCAGTGACAGTCCGTGACGCCAGCCTGGCCTCCCAGCCTCTGGGTTGTTTGTCCCTGTTTGCAGTGAGCCCTGGCTGGAGGGGGCGTCCCCTGGTTTCCTTTGCTCATTCGATGGGTCCACATGTGTTTCCTCCAGAGAGCAGCTCGAATCTGAACTGAGATGGTTACAAAATGCTTTTTCTGAAACAACCTTCAACCACCTTGTTAAAGGTGGACCTTGTGGGGTGTGGGCAGGCCGCAGGGAGAGCTGCGGGTCTGTGGACGGCCTTCCAGCTCGTTGTGAAGGTGTCGGGGCAGCAGAAGGCAGGTAGGCGTGGCCCACTCACCAGGAGCCGCCTGGCCACCCGGAGTGCACGTCCTGGGTCTGGGAGGGAGCAGGTTGGCAAAGCTGTCCTGCCTTTGCTGCTGGGGATGGGTCCCCCTCCCGCCATTCACGGGCCTCAGACCCAGCAAGCCCAGGCCTGGCTGTGGGGACCCCGCACACAACCTTCAAGGGAGCGAGTCCTCCCACATGCCGGGGGCCAGGGCGGGAGTTTGCATGGACCGCCCCGTGTCCCCGGAAACCCAGCTGTCTGGAGGGAGCGCCTGCCGCTTGGTCAGCAGTCATTTCCCCAGAACTTTCCATCCTTTATGAGTCAATCTCCATTTACTTGGTCCAGATGCCCAGACCATGCTAGTGTGTAATTTTTTTTCTGGATATTGAGGAAGAACACTTGTTTTCGGTGAGTGTCTACAGAAGGTGACTCAGCGGCCGTGCGTGGGTGTGACAAGGGCACCTCGCGTGGCAGCAGCTGCGTTTGTCGGCACTGCCGCCGCCAAGGGCTCCAGGCCCCCGACCAGCAGAAGGCGCCGTCTTCCCAGAAACAAGAAGCACCTATAAAATCCGCGCTGCAGGTGTGCGAGAGGCCGTCCAGGGTCTGCTGCAAACAGGATGAACTCACGGCATTCTGACCACGGCATTCTGACCACCTATCGTTAGCTGCTTTTCTTCCAATTAAAAAAAAAAGTAAAGCAAAAAAAAGTAAAGACAGATAATGGCAGGAAAAACTCTACCAACCCCCACTGGTGTCATTAGGATGGAGTAGTTTCAGAAGGTGGCTGGTGGGATGCTCTCAAATAGGGAAGAAACGCGTAGTGTGCGTGGGGACCTCCAGCCCAGAGGGCCCTCCGCCTACTGTCCATCTCCGCACCACACTGGCCCCCAGGCCTACTCTCTGTCCTCTGCTGCAGCGGCTTCTCTGCATCAGGGTCAGAGGTCACTGAGTAAAGCTGACTTTTCAGGAACACCTTGTGGTAGGTTAGCAGCGGGTGTGCGCCAGAAACCAGTTTTCCCGCAAATCCCCAGCACAGCCTTCCTGGCAGAGGGCTCCCGCTGCGGGCGTGCGAATCTTCCTGCCAGAGCTGCCCCCTAAAGACGGTGCTAGAATCAAACCGTCTGGATTCAGGGTTGAAGTTAGGGAGCCTGCGAATCTCTCCTTTTCAGTTTCCAAAGGGATCTCTCTTCTGAAAAGGCCGTGATCGGCAGCGTGGAAACGCCGATGCAACAGCTTTCCTTCTGCTGTAACCTCCCTGCACTCCAGGAGCGACTCCAGTACCGGTGAGAGGACAGCTCAGGCGGGAAGCGTCTCGAAATTACTCATCCCCAAAGACGGGAAACCACGGGAGACAGTGCTTTTGTGTGTCTCCCGTCCGTGTATACCGCGTTCATTACTCCGGAGTTTCAGTCTCTTGTTTCCTCCGAGGCAGGAATAACGCTGACGAAGTGCCAGCTGAGGCCGGTGGCCGCAAGGCCTGAGCATCCCCGCGGCTCGCTGTCTTTCAGCAGCCGACCGCAGCACGCGATGGCCGAGAAGATCTCCACGGAGAGGCAGGATGTTAGGTCCTTAGGATATGTCATTGACAACTATTTTCCAGAAATGGAGAGGACGGACCTGCCCCAGGGCCTCCGAGGGAAGCGCAGCCTCATTTTCGGGAACTGGGAGACGCCCTACGCCTTCCACCGCGGGCGCTTCCTCCCGGGGCTGGAGCGCTGCCGGCACCGCCCCTGGGCCGTGGGCCACGCGTTCCTGAGATATGTGAGTCCCCAGCCCACTGTGTGGACAGGGTGAGGCCAGCCCCACTCGTGCTGGGCGCGGCCCACGTTTCAGACGAGTGGGTCCCTTGTGTCCGGGTCAGGAGATACGTCCCTGCCAGTTATGACCTGGCTCTGGACGCTTGGGCCTCAGGGTCAGCAGACGGCACCCTGGTCGAGAGCCCCTCAGCACTGGGGTTGCACCTGTGTCAGCACACCTAATCTGTCCACGACCCACCCCTCACAGCTAGCTGGCCCAAAGCAGCTTCCAAAATCGGTTTGCTCCCTGCACGTAGGAAGCCCACCTGGTCCCCGTCACGGTCTTCCTGTGAGCCTGCCCAGCTCCCCTTCCAGAGGGCCGCCAGACCCTCCTGACCAGCTCTGAGAGCCGCATGGATGTATAGATCACTCCGAGGAGACCTGAGGTTTTGATAAGTCTCTTCTCAACCATGAATACTGAGTCTTTATAAAATTCTTAATTTACTCTGAAAAGAAAGTTTTTTCAACAAGTAGTTAGTAACCAAACAGTTTGGGGCACGGGGCAGCATCTGTGCTGGGGGCAGGTGACAATTCTGCTTCAGCATCATTAAATATGAATTACCGTGACAAAAGCACGGGTGCTGAGGCACATCCCACATGTTGTGTCTTTTCAGCTCGCTCTTAAAAAATGCTTTTAGCCATCACGTGCAACTTCCATGTTGTTTTATGTTGACAGTAATCTTGAGACTTTTAAACGTTTAGACAGACTTGGTTCTTGACTGTTAATGGATATTTCAAACCCTCCCTCGGGCCCACCCTCTGAGCACCCCCTCTTGCCTCTTCCCTGAAAACTGGTATTTTGAGACTGAGTCTAGGGCTCCTACCACGTCCGGGGAGCCTAGTGCCCGCTCCCGACTGCAGCGAGACCCTGCGGAGCTGGGCGGCTTCTGACCCCAGCCCTCCCTTCGCAGGAGGAGCAGCTTGGCAGGTACGCGCTCTACAGCAAGAACAAGCCCGGGCAGACGCCCTGCTCTGCAGCCACGGCAACGCCTTCTTGAAGGTCGTCCCCCCGCCCGCGAGCCTTACCGCCCGGCCTGGCCCGGGCTGACCCTCTCGCCCGGCCTTGCAGGACAAGCAGCGGGAGCTGGGTGACAAGATGGACCTGGCCTCCTACTTGCTGAAGCCCGTGCAGCGCGTGGGCAAGTACGCACTGCTACGCCGGGCCCTGGTCCAGGAGGCTGGCGGCTGCCCCGCCCGTGAGCAGGCGCTGGGCGAGCTGAGGGCCATAGGACAGGCCTGCGGGGAGGCGCCCACGCTTGAGACCCCCCCCCAGACCCCTGCCCAGAGGGAAGGGGACACCCGGGAGAGGCTGCTGGGGCGGGAGCCACGGGAGGAGAGGCAGGCGGGCTCTCAGTGCTACACGTCGGTGTTTGGGGCTACTCTGAAATAACTGGATATGGGAAAAACTGAGCTTGGCCTTGGGCTGTGGGCCGCGGTGGGGCCAGCGCCCAGGGCCAGGAGGAAGAGAGGACCTTCCGCTCAGGCAGGACCGCCCCGAATTCCCCGTGGGCCAGGAGGAAGAGCGGACCTTCCGCTCAGGCAGGACCGCCCCGAATTCCCCGTCCCAAGTGAAGACGTGGGCACCTCATTAGAGCAGCGTTAGTAAGAGTTCCAAGACGACAGATCGGCCCCAGGTGGCCACCCGCAGACCCGAAGGCCCCCGAGCCCTCTGTCCAGTGAGCTCAGCCCAGCGATCTGGGACAGCCCAGGTGTCACCCAGGACAGGGCCGTCCACGGGAGGGAGGGGGGCACCTCCCATGAAGAGGCGGCCTGGCTGGGCGCAGTTGACCCTCACGCAGCCGTCGCCTCGTGGAGGCTTCGTTACAGGGGCGCGAGGTCAGGGCTGGGATGGCTGTCCTGTCCCCCTGAGAGAGGCCGGCCTGCCTGCAGGTGGATCTGAAGGAACAGGGGTGGCTGAGATGCCAGGACGAGTTCCTCATTCGCTGCAGAGGGAAGCAGCAGCTGAGGCGCGTGTTCCTGTTTGAAGACCTCATCCTGTCCAGCAGGGCCCAGAGGTGGCCGGGGGCCACGCTGTGTACGCGCACAAGCAGTCCTTCACGGTACCGCGTCAGGCAGGGCGCTGGGGGCCGGAGGGAACGCCAGGTTATTTGTTATTGCGGCTCTTCGGCTGAATTTTGGAGCCTGTGGCCTCCAGAAGCCGCAAGGAGCCATTTGTCCTTCGTGTTCCACGTCCCAGTCCAGGGGCTAGAAAACCAATGTCTCCTCGTCAGTGACTCCATTTCAGGTTTGGGTGAACGTGGGCAGAGCATAGAGGCGGCCTTCCGCTGGGCGGTCTCAGGGCCTCACCCCTCCCCCCAGACAGGCACTGGGGGTGAAGTCTCCCGGGAGAGGCCCCACTGCAACCCTTTCCCTGCCAGCGAGCTCATCGGAGGGGTCCTGTGATGACGCGCCAGGGAGCCCTTCTGGCGGGGGCACTGAGCCCTCACAAGGGAGCCAGTGTGGATGGCGGGGGTGGGGGCGAGGGGGAATGGGGGCCAGGGGCGATGGGCCCCCGGCCCAGCCTCGTCCACACCACTCGGTGTCTGGGTGAGGGGACCTCCGGCACGGAGGCGCTGGGGTCAAGCGTCAGCCAGAGCAGTCAGTTGTCCAAAGGGCAGGATCTGAGGTCCCTCACGGTGCTTGTGGCTGCAGATGGCACAGATCGGGATGACGGAGAACGTCGGGGACAGTGGCTTGAGGTTGAGATCTGGTTCTGCAGGCGGCGGAAATCCCAGGACACCTACGTTCCCCAGGCGAGCTCCGCTGAGGTCAAGACCGCCTGGACAGACGTGATAGGGAAGATCCTGTGGCGGCAGGCTCTGCGGAGCCGAGGTGGGCAGAGCGGCTGGAGGGCACTCGGCGTGCAGGGCCAGCTCGGGCTGGGCTCGGGCTGGGTTCAGGGCTCGTGGTCTGTCCGAGGGGCTCCTTAGCACCATCCATCAGCACACGAACACTTACTTCTCCTTAAAACAACAAGCAAGACCCCGGCCCCCACGCTCCGAGAGATGGCTCAGCCCCAGCTCCCAGACGCCCTCAGACCCGTGGCGTCAGCTTTCTGCCCTGCCCTGTGGTCAAGGCCCCTGGCCTCCTGGACGCCACGCCGATGGCCAGCCTGTGGTCTCCCCACAGGTAAGGCCTCCCACCTCGTTCCCTCCCCCTTCATGTCTGCCCCCAGTCCCTCCTGTCCCGAGTTCGTCACTGGGCCACCTCTGCCTACTTCAGAGTGGTAGCTCATCCAGGCTGGCTGCCACACGTGCCATCTTCATCGCAACCCCTCCCAGCCGGCCCTCCTTCTGGCGGCTCTGACCACCCCGCTGGGCCAGAGAAACCCTAATAAGCTAACACCCTGACATCCAAACGCGGCCACTTGGCACTCGGAGGCTACCACCCTGGCCAGGGCCCTGACCTGGCACCAGAGATGCCCCACGGCCTCCTCATTGCCACGTCCTTCTAAGTGTGGACCCCCCCCATGCACACAGACACAGGCACACAGGCATGCACAGATATGCACACACACAGACACATATGTTCACACCCAGAGACACATGTACACACGTGTGCACACAGAGACACGCAAGACACACGTGCACACAGGCACGCAGCAGCCTTGCTCGGGGCGCCCGGTAGGAGCAGCATGTCCCCAAGGCCTGGTGTCCCCTCCCTCTGGGGCCCCCAGCTGTAATCGCCATCCTCTTTCTTTGCTTGGTTTACCGAGCATTCATTCGTGCTCAGGCTCTCACCCTGTGCTTTGATCCCCTCTCAGTTTCAAGCGTGGCAGATACCTGTCAGTTTGTCTTTCCTGGAGCCATGCCCTGCCTGGAGGCCTCTGTCCCACTCCAAGGTGGATGTCCCTTCATCCACAGACGGAGACCTGCCCCTGCCCGGTTGGACACCCAGTTTCTATGGTCCCACGTCTTCCTTTTTCCTGGTTCACCCCCTTGGGCTCCCTGAGAGAGGCCGAAACGGGCACCTCAGCATGTCCAGTCCCCCAGAGACACAAAGTGGAATTAAACCCAGGGAGCTGCTTAGAAAACTCCCCCACACACTCCTATCTTAGAACTCAGGAAACAGGAGATGGCGCCCACGGGGATAGGCAGCAAGCCATTCATGGACATCAAGCCCAGCAACGCGGCCATAAGCGACCGGGCCGTCAGTTACACCGGGAAGGGAACAGGTTAGCGGCCACAGCCCCGGCTCCTGCTCAGCCCCGCCAACTCAGACGCAGGCGCCGCAGTGCGCCGGGCCCCACGGGCCAACACGTCGGACTGGACGGGTGGCGGCCCCATGAGGCCCGATGTGACTGCGGGGGAAGGAACCTAGTAGTTTTCTGGCTGGCCATCTTGTTCTTGAATCTAGGCTGCACCTCTACAACAGAGGCCAGAAGCCTCGTTTTCTGTCCCCGTCCAGAGGCACGGACCTGAGCGTGTGACCACACCGCCCCCCCCCCCCCCC